CATTCCAAAGTGGTGTATCCAACTAGTGATATGCCATATGTATATTTTTAACCACTGTCCTGTTTGATACTTCACATGTTTCCTTCTCTTACAAAGACAGTGAGGAGACTGGGGTTGGGGGGAGAGTAAGTATGTGGAAACTCTGTACTTCACACTGAATTCTCTTGTGAACGTAAAATAGCTCTAAAATTAAAGTCTGTAAAACACACACATACACACACAGTCAGCAATTCTTTGAGATGTGCTTGAATTGAAAACATGGCTTTTTTTTTTTTCCCTAGAAAAATGATTCTCGTTTTCCTTAGGGAAGAGTAAAGTTCAGGAAGCAGCTCATTACAGCTCACTAGTTTGAAAGAGAAAGAGGATTAGAAATATTAAAAGTAACAGCTAGCTTTCCAGGGGATAGAAGACGTTCAACAGGTGTTAAAAGCCAGAGGTGGACAGTAAAGTGCGAGAAACAGGTTTTATTCAGAAAAACTAAAGGGGAAAAGACACCCCAGTATAGACTTGGGCTCAATTTCGAATACGACAAGGAAGAGTGGGGATTTCTAGCCAAGGAGCAGAGTGAAGGGGTCGGTGGATGGAAAATGACTGAGATGAAACATCTGGGGTGAGGGGCATTCTAGCTAAAGGATCTAACCTAAAGGAATTCTTGCTGGAGGCAGGCCAGGGCGTTGGGATGATGAGAGATGAGGAACCCTGCAGGACCGTCAAGGTGATCGGTAGCAGGATTATTGCTAAATTTGGGCGTTGCGGGGATAGGCACAAGCACAGAAATGTAAGGTTCAGAGAGCCCGACTTAAGTTTGGTCAAGGAGAGGTTCTGTCATCAGGAGGAAAAGCCAGCTTGGCAGAGTGGACAGGGCTCCGCCAGCCATCAGTGGGTTCTGCGGCCTCGGGGAAGACCGGGAGGAAGGTGGGGGTGGTGGAGGGGTCTCCCGACGCGGGGCCGCGGGGGCGGGGCTGACCTCAGGAGGGCGGTGGCCCCCCGACTGGGTGGGCGGGGCGGGCGGAGGCGCGCAGCCGCTGGGCCTACCGTGCTGGCCTGGTGGGGTGGAGGGAGAGCCCGCCCCGCCCTCTGGGGCGCGCCTCCCGGATCGGCTCGTGTCTATGGAGGAAAAATTCTACGCCAGCCCTGCGATTTCCATGGCCGCAGCCGCCTGCGGCACCAAGGCCATGTCCCTGTTCAAGCGGACCTTGGTGCTGAGCCCCGCCGCGGCGCCCCGGGGTACGGGCGCGGGCTCCCCGCCACGCGGCTGCCCCTTGCCTCCCGCCGCCTGGCCCTCCAAGGACTGGCCGCGCGCAGAGGGCGTCTGCGGCAGGCTGCGGAGCCCGCCGGTGGCCGGCCGCCTGCCCCATTCCCACTCCTGCTCCGCCGCGTCTCCCACCGCCGTGTGTCTTCTCTGCCCGCAGGATTCGCTCAGCAGCAGCTTGAAAACTTGCTACAAGTATCTCAATCAGACTAGTCGCAGTTTCGCAGCTGTCATCGAGGCGCTGGATGGGGAAATGCGGTGAGTGGCCAGACAGCTCCTTTTTGCTTGGGGCAAGAAGGCTTTTCCAGGGGACTTTGAGCCACTCGAAGCTACTTTCTGACAGTCCCTATCATTGCAGTCTCCGTTTGTGGCTCAGCTAGAACGTGCCCCACTCATGCCCCACCTGAGTGAAGGCAATGTCTCGTTGGAACACCCATGTATTTACTTTAGAATGCCCTTCCAGGCAGTTAGCCATCTAGTAGTTGCCCTGTGGGCCCAGCTTCAGGGAAGCGGGGAGGAAGGCGGGGGGAGTGGATGGTGGTGTTTATTAACTTTTTTTAGTCCTGGCAGCGGAACCTGTCTCTGAGGAGGTCATGCATTTTTTTTCTTGGCTTCCCTTATGCTGCTTTGCAATTCTAGTATATGGGGTTAATTCTTCCCAAGTTGCTGCTGTGCAGGCTGCATACATGAACCCAGACCAATTGCCTTGGTGTATGATAGCATTTATACCGAGAAGTTTTAGCGTCTTTTGACATTTTAATCTACAAAATATTTGCTCCATGTAAACACTTGGTTTGCTGATCTTTGTATGGTTGTTCTACAGTAGTTAAATGTAACTCATTCTGGGAGTAGTTGTGACATCCAGCTGCTAGGTTTTTTATTTCGTGTTTTATAAATAAACCACTGAAGTCCATTGCTCCCATCTAAGAAAAGAAAGCTGAGATGGCTCATTAAGTACAAAAGGGTTTGGCTCTCCTTTCAGAGTTCTTTAGAGGTAGGGCTATAGGAGGTTTGCATTCATGACATATTATTTTAAAATACATATCTTTGGATGTTTATCTGTTACATTAATAGTTCTTCCATTTTTTACAGCCATGCGGTATGCATATTTTATCTGGTCCTCCGGGCTCTGGACACTCTGGAAGATGACATGACCATCAGTGTAGAAAAAAAGGTCCCACTGTTGCACAACTTCCACTCTTACCTTTATGAACCAGACTGGCGGTATATGGAGAGCAAGGAGAAGGATCGACAAGTGCTAGAGGACTTCCCAACGGTAGTGGAATTACAAATGTCTTCTGCCTATGGTTGTGTTGATAACTGATGATATAGTTGGCGGCTAGCCCCCATACCTGGAGAGAGCAGTGAAATAAGCAGTCTGAGGACAGTGTCATATACTGTGCTGGGTAAGAACTCTGGTAGCCAAGACTCTGAAGCCAGACTGCCACCTCTTCCACTTAGTAACCGGTGCTTAGTGATGTAGCCTGTCTAAACGTCAGTTTCTTCATCTATAGAGATAATAATAATACCTACTACCCATAGTATTGCTGTGAGATTTCTAAGATTTAACACAGGTTAGAATGGTGTTAGCTTCTATTATTGTTACCAGTATGCTGCTCGGAAGTCCAGTATTTCCTTCTTCAGAAAGTTACATTCTAAATCCAGTGTGGTAAAAGATGGATTCTCAGGCTCATTCACAAAACCCGTTGCCATGTAATACAGCAGAAGGCTTCTGGTACCCTTAACCTGGTAGTGTGGATGTGTTGTTCTTGATGTTGTTCTTGACGGGTAGTCGCCATGGGGTAGGGAGCAGGCTCTTAGCAGCTGGGGTGAGGACTGACAAGCACAATGATGCCCTGCCACTTATGGCCTTTGTCTGTGCCTTGGTTTCCTCATTTGTAAAGTTGAGAGCTCTCAGGATTGATAAGTTCATATGTATAAAGTACTTAGGGACACCCGGATGGCTCAGTTGGTTGAGTGTCCACCTCTTGGTTTCAGCTCAGGTCATGATCCCAGGTCATGAGACAGAGCCCAGCATTGGGCTCCATGCTGAGGGTGGAGCCTACTTCAGATTGTCTCTCTCTATCTGTCTATCTCTCCCACTCCCCCTCTGCCCCTCTCTCCCACTCATGCTCCCTCTCTAAAATAAAATAAATAAATGAACATAAAATACTTAGAAGATTGCTTGCTGCATACTAAGTATTCTATAAATACTAGGTGTTTTGTCCATTCTGTTGGAGTAAAGTGGGTTATAATTAAACTCTTGAGCTTTAGAAAATTGACAAGTTTATGTTACACGTGTCATTAGGTCTTTTCTGGAATTTGCATGTCTTATCACACAAATAAGTGTTTCTTTCATATCTTATATATATAAAGGTTTGATTTAGCAAAGTCTCATGTTCTGTAAGAGCCCAAAGAAGCCCTTCTTTTTATGCACAATTTCTAGAATCTGGGGGGAAGAATAGTCCTCACGTGGCTGTTGCCATTGAAACAGGTCTATATTCCAGTGGGGAGGTGAGGAATCCACCCATTACAGAAGAATGTTGGAGACACTCCTTGGGTGAGGAAGGGCTATTTCAGAGTACTGAGATCATACCTTCACTGTCAAAGACAAAAATAAAATACGGTATGATTCAAACCAAAAGAAAAAGTCTGTGAGGAATTATTAGGTGGAGCTGATCCAGTGCACTGCTATGATACAAGAGAGGAAGAAGAACCTGGGACGCATAATTAGGTGAGGAATTAGAGCTCTCACCTAGAGAGGGTACCAGTGATTTGACTCTCCCAGGATACCTCTCACGTGAGCAGAGGTTGGGTTTCCTCTGACTGGAAATCCACAGACATTCACTGATGAGCTTGTGACACTCCACTAATGCAGAGAAAGTGCTGCAGACAGAGTCCCAGAGCCTTTATTTATTTATTTGTTTATTTTTGAGAGAGAGAGAGAGAGAGAGAGAGAGAGAGTGTGAGCGGGGAAGGGGCAGAGAGAGAGGGAGACACAGAATCCGAAGCAGGCTCCAGGCCCCGAGCTGTCAGCACAGAACCTGATGTGGGGCTCGAACCCACAAACTGTGAGATCATGACCTGAGCCGAAGTCAGATCCTTAACCAACTGAACCACCCAGGCGCCCTGCTCCCAGAGCCTTTATTATTGATGTGTATTCTCACTTTAAAAAGTGATATTCTAGCTAGAGCCTCCAAAACCAAAAAAACCTTCCAAACTACTTTTGACTTGAGTAAATTCATAACAAATAATTTCTAGTCATGGGAAAATGTCATAGGTATTTTAAAAATCAAGGTGCCCCTATCCACTCAGCAAAAATAGATATGAAAATGTGTGAATGCTAGAATAATTTTGGGGGGGTAGAGCTGATAAATGTTTACATAATTCCAATATGCTTAGAAAACCAAAATCTTCTCCTTTATAAATACTGCATTGCAATGGAAAAACGACAGTTTGTTCAAGAAAATTGCAGCATTAAATCTATCTTTTCCTGTGTTGGGGAGTAGAGTGAGAGCTGACAGGCACTACTGTCCTGAAAGCAGAGACTAGCCCTGGAAGAGGAGAAGGGAGCAGAGAGTACAGGCCAGGCATCATTATTTTGCTGTTGTTAACCCTTTATATCCTTATGAATGTGAAATCTATGGGAGCTAGGTGTTTTGTGAGAGTGTAACTGTGTTTTGTTTTGTTTTTTAATTTTTTTTAGGTTTATTTATTTTGAGAGAAAGAGAGGGAGTGAACAGGGGAGGGGCAGAGAGAGAGAATCCCAAGCAAGCTCCGTGCTGTCAGCCTAGAGCCTGATGCGGGACTCGAACCCATGAACCATGAGATCGTGACCTAAGCTGAAACCAAGAGTCGGACGCTTAACCGACTCAGCCGCCCAGGCGCCCTGTGAGAGTGTAATTTTGAATTGGAGGTCCTTTCAGCCTTTTGTTCGATTGAGATAGAAATATATGGAAATTCATGGTGCCTTACTTTCTTAAGGAAAGGTTTGTGCACATGCTGATCTCTCCCACCATCTCCTTGAAATAAGATGCACAATTTGAAAGGTAAAGCCGTCTGGTTAGGCGGACAGTCAGTTTTGGGCAAGGGCCTAAAGGCAGAATAGGTAACTTGGCCTCGCTCACACAGTACTGCTCTTTCTTAGACATGGCACACAGCCATTTCTTTTTTTATGTTTTATTGTTTACTTTTGAGAGAGAGGGTGTGGGGGAGGGGTAGAGAGAGAGGGAGACAGAGGATCTCAAGCGGGCTCCAAGTTGATAGCAGAGAGCCGGATGCGGGGCTCAAACTCACAAACTGTGGGATCATGACCCGAGCCAAAGTCGGATGCTTAACCGACTGAGGCACCCAGGTGCCCCGCACAGTACTGCTCTTAGACTGAAGCAAGGAGGGCCCTACTCTGAGGCAAAAGGGGGGCTCCTCACTCTCAAAGGGGTGGGGGGGGTGCCAAGAACTGATGCAGCTCCCCTTCTAGACTATGCTCTGAGTGTCTGGAATTCCCTACCCTCAATTCCCTGAGCCACCGCACCCCTAGGCCTCCTCGTGCTGGACAGAGTGGGTGCAGCGTGGGAGTGGGATCAGCGGTCTGCCTTGCTGCATTTCAGAACCAAGTCCTGAGGGAATTGTAAATTCACACTTGAGGCCTTCAGGCTGTTGTGGAGGTATCTCTGTCAAGGCAGGAGAACAGAACGTACTGTTTCACAAGTTACTCGTTTAACAAGCGACTGATAATTTTAAGATAACTTTCATCCCAGGCAGTGTGGATTTTAGGCATAAGCCTAGACAGAGAGTTCTAAGTGCACACTTCCTTAATGTGTGTGCCTTGAGATTGAACCTGGTATTTTATGCTTTAGTGGTCAATACTTGAAAGTCAGGCTTTCTAGAACTCTCATTGTACATTATGGATGAGTTATCTTTTTCATCTGGTACTAGTGGAAACTAGCAGTCTTCAAGATAACATGGGGTTATTTTTAAATGATAATAGCAATAATAATATTTATCGAGCTGTGAATTAGTTACAAAGTATATTTCATTAGTGATTTACTATTTGTATGATTTTGTGTTAATGTAGTTTTAATATTTAATCACTGGCATATTTCACTGCCCTTTTATTTTTTTATTATATATTTTAATATTTATTTTATTTTTGAGAGAGAGAGAAAACATGCAAGCAGGGGAGGGGCAGAGAGAGGGAGACAGAGGATCCGAAGCAGGTTCTGGGCTGACAGCGGAGAGCCCGATGTGGGGCTCAAACTCAATGATCCGTGAGATCCTGACCTGAGCTGAAGTCAGACGCTTAACCGACTGAGCCACCAGGCGCCCCATTTACTGCCTGTTTAAAAATTTGTCAAAAACAGGACTTGGCAAATAAGCGAAGGTAGAATTACCCAGTGTTTTGATCATAAAGTCCTGAAATTTACAGGGAATTTTTAGTATAGGTTAATGGAAATGTCTTGCTACCCTTGACCCCTACTTTGGTGTTTGGCCTTTCTCCATTATACGAGCAGATTCACCATGCTATCCTTGAGTGTGACTCAAGGACCTAGAAATCTGTAGTTGTGAAACACAGTTACCTGGAGGGACAGTAAAAAGTCCTCATGGCTCAGGGCGCCTGGGTGGCTCATTTGGGTGAGAGTCTGAATTCATCTCAGGTCATGATCTCACAGTTCATGAGTTCGAGCCCCGTCTCAAGCTCTGTGCTGTCAGCGCAGAGCCTGCTTCAAATCTTCTGACCGCCTCTCTGCCCCTCCCCCGCTTGTGCTCTCCCAGAAATGAATAAATATTTAAACAAAAACTGTCCTTGTGGCTCATTTCACTCAACAGAGCTTGCTGTTGCTCCTAGAGAGTATGTGAAACTGGGTGCCAAGCACGGAGGAGCCCCTCAGTGCTCTCCCTCCCTCAGGTGTCTGGGAAAACATAGGGCTCTTCACTATCACCCTTTTTTTTGTTGTCGTTAATGTTTGTTTATTTTTGAGAGAGAGAGAGAGAGAGAGAGAGAGACAGACCACGCATGAGCAGGGGAGGGGCAGAGACAGAGAGGGAGACACAGAATCCGGAGCAGGCTCCAGGCTCTGAGCTGTCAGCACAGAGCCAGAAAGCGGGGCTTGAACTCATGAACTGTGCGATCATGACCTGAGCTGAAGTTGTACCCTTAACCCACTGAGCCACCCATGCGCCCTCCTAGATATTTTTGTTTTCATTTTTTGAATTCTATAATTAGATAATGATAAATCCCAAAAAGTTGTTGAAGGGGATGGTTCACAGTCAGCAGTGAAGTGTTTCTTTTGGTGTGCTTGATTTTAAGAATCTAAGCCCTTCCTCTTTCCTCACCTCACTGGTCTTTGTTCTCATAAACAGAATGACCTAGTCAACGATCTGTTGAAAGAATGGGGTCCTAAGGAGATTCAGGGATTCAGATGCCCTTTGATAGAGTTGCTCATTTGTTTCAGTCCGTAATAGAAATGACTTTTTGGCTTTGTCTTCCAGCTGTTCTGGAAAGAACAGTGTTCTGGAAAGATTAGATTGATTTTATGGGCTTTTGGGATTGTATTTAATTTCAATTTTTATTTTTGGGGGGAGAGGGAGGTTTTTTTGCACTGACAGTGGCGAGCCTGATGTGGGGCTTGAACTCACAAACCAAGCGATGATGACCTGAGCTCAACTGACTGAGCCACCCAGGCACCCCGGACTTATGGGGTTTAACAGTTTATGTTATTCAGAGTAATGGTAAAATATCTTAGGCCTCTGAATCCCGTGCTGTGCCACCAGCTGGTTTTTCCTCAGGTCCTTATGTATAGGTGTTTCTTGAACAAGTTTTTCTAACATTTCTGCAAACACAGACCAAGTCATTCTCATACTTCTGATGATTAATAAAGTCTGTTAACTGTTTTCAGTATTGTGTGTTGCCTCTATTAATATTTTGTAGCATTTTATGAAGTTTCATGGTGTTTCCATATTGTGTTTTGATCACCTATAAACACTTCTTTGAACTTAGGACGTTTGTATAATAGCAGTGAATTTAAAAAATATCAGTATGATTTCTACATTAGAGTTTGGGCTATGGAAAAAAATGTTGGGTAGCATGCCTCAGGTTGGGGTAAATTGAGTTGTTTGAGGAATTAAAATGTATAGCCTTCCAGAGGGGAGACACTATAACTTCAAGATAGAAATTTGGGAATTGATGATAGAAAATGGTTGGCTGATCTCCTCAGTAAACTGTACAGGGGCATGAGTTTCTGGTCCTTTCCAAGGCTGTGTATCCCCATTGCCTAGAACAATGCTTGTTGTGGGCGAAGTGCTTGATACATGTTTGCAGGAATGAGTCTCCCATCCCATGAGGTTTGTCTAAAATGGGGCATTCTTCCTAAAATTCTTATGTTTATGCCTACTCTATATTGAGGCATCTTATTTATTATATAATGGAAAGATGAGCATGTTGTGAGATTTTGAATTTTCTTTTGAGTGTAGAAATCTTGGCATTTTTAGACCCTTCTATTTTAATAAATATAAAATTTCTGAGTTTATTATTCAGTATATAGACTAGCATAACCTAGATGTTAGGCTTATAGATGAATCATTTGGGAGCCTTAATGGGTTCCACTATTGCTTTGTTTTACAATCTATAGGTAAACATGTTGGTTCCCAATGTACCTACATGTTTCATATTTTCTCTGTTTTTTGTGTGATTTCTATTTCAGATCTCCCTCGAGTTTAGAAATCTGGCTGAGAAATATCAAACGGTGATTGTTGACATTTGCCGGAAAATGGGATTTGGGATGGCGGAGTTTTTGGATAAACACGTGACATCCGAACAGGAGTGGGACAAGGTGAGCGGTTACAAAGCAGTGTTGGTGTGTGGTACGTGAGACAGAGCTGAGGGTGTTCACTGTCAAGTTCAGAAAGAGGGATAAAGTTGTCTACCCATTCCAGGTTTTCTGCTTTTACAACCCATCTGTTTAGTTTGAATGGCTCATCATAAACACTTAATATAGGGGCTTATCCTTGAATACTTGAACTAATCCATGCCCTAGAAGGAGTTTACCAGTAAGTCAGGCCAAAGTAGATAAAACTTGCCCCAGGGGTACAGATGTTAAGCTTCTAAAAGTGTCTCTGACTCGCTGTGATATTTTAGATAAATGGCCAAATTGCTTCATGTAGTATAAAGATATCAGTGGTTTTCATATCTTAAAAATGTTTTTTTTTTTTATTATTCCGTTTCTGAGTACATGTGTATGTGTACACACCTTAGTATCTGAATCCTTTCTCCAGTTCCATCTTAACACAAGATTACATTTATTTGTTTATTTATTCATTCATTTAAAGTTTATGTATTTTGAGAGAGAGAGCATGAGGAGGGGGAGGGATGGGGGCGGGGAGAGAATCCCAAGCAGGCTCTATACTGATACCCAGAGGCTCGATCTCACAAACTGTGGGGCTCAGTCTCGCAAACTGTGAGCTTATGACCTGAACCGAAATCCAGAGTCAGATGCTTCACGGACTGAGTCATCCAAGTGCCCCTACCCAAGATTACTTTTAAACTCGGTGCCAGCTTGACCCCATTTGTTTGGGAGAAGTAGGCATTCCTCAAACTGTTAAATTTGTATGTGTGTTTCCTGAGAAACAAAAACAAGTTTAATGAGAAACCAAAGATAGTGACTTTGGATCTTGGGTGTGTTGTGTTGAGGAGTGAGCACCTTTCCAACACCTTACCTTTTTCTTTCCCATCATCTCCTTACAGAATTAACACAGTATGAGATGTTCCAAGTTTCTTGACCTCCCTCCCCCAATTCCTATGGCAGTTATAAATGGGTATGTGCGGGGATTAGCAGTGGGAGACCTCACATGGATGAGGTTATCCTCTTCAGGAGACAGAGTAGCTGGAAAGGGCTATGAGAGCAGATGATGTGGCAGAAAAAATTATAATGGCTTTTATTTGGCTTGAGTTTATTCCTGAGCAGCAGCTGAGTAGGATATTAGCCAGGGTAGGAGTAGGGGGCAGGGAGAGAGTGCTTTTCTAGACAAAGTGACCTAATTGACTCTGGGGACTAAAGTAAACATCAGAATACAGGACAGAAGGGAGAGGTCTTGCCCATTTTCCATAGGCATGGTGTTTGTGAGCCTTCTTTGTCACCCTAGTGGAGGCAAAGACATTTTAATCATCTGAATTGTGTACGTATTTTGTATCTTTAATGGTATTCAGGTTGGGATCTCAGAAGAGACACTACTGCATACATATGCATTGGGTGAGTGTAGGTCCAAAGTCCGGCCTCTTAATCCTTCAGTCATCAAAACTTGCTGGCAACGTCTTTGGAACTGCTGGCTTATGCTCTCCAGATGAGCATGCGTGTGACTGCTGCTGGGCTATCAGTTGATCAATTTAAAGTTAAAGCTGAAACAACTCCTGGCCAAGAATCAGCACTCGTTAGCTGCATGGTAGCTTCCTTTTCTGCCCTGCAGACCTACACAAGGAACCTAATGATCGGTTGTTGAATATAAGTTCTGATTAGATCAGTGCTTTTAATGATTTCCCCCTCTCTCTTTAACTGTGGAGGAGGAGGACTACCTCCATTCTAGGAATATTTCTATCCAAAGAACCATTATCTTAAAATATACTTTTCCTTGGACAGCTCTATGGATGTACTCATGTTTTTTAGTTTCTAGTAGTTCTTTGGAAATTTCTTATACTTTCCCACAGCTCATTTCTGTCTAATTTTAGCATATCTTTACTCTTTCCAGATTCTTCCTTTCCTAGACCGTATTTCGAGTGCATTCTTTTTGCCGTTTCATTGTGCCCCTTGATTGGTCTCTGGCTTTGTGTTACTTTCAACCAAAGACCCTCCTCTGTGGACTTTCCCTAATGTTTACCCTTCCTAATGTCCTCCCCAGAGTGTACCTTTAACTGCCCTCCACTTCTAAAATTGTCTAATGGACATTAATTTCATAAGAGTATTGCATTAAGTTGTCTTGCAATGCTCTTCTCAGGAGAGGATAGCTTTGACAAGCCACTTTTATGGAGAAAAAGTCTTTGACGATTAAGAATGACGTTTGCCAAGATCTCTTTTTAGGAGAGGCAGTTTTATCGAAATTGTTAAAGCCTGCCTTTAAGCCAGACCACCTGGCTTTGAGTCCCTGGCCTCTGACTTCTCAGATGAGTGATCTTGGACAATAAACTGACTTCTTTTCTGTCCCAGCTTCCTAAAATGGTGGTAATAATAATACATGCCTCAGGGTGCTGGGTGGCTCAGTCGGTTCAGTGTCAGACTTCAGCTTAGGTCATGATTTCACGGTTCGTGAATTTAAGCCCTGCATTGGGCTCTGCTGTCAGCACAGAGCCTGCTTTGGATCTTCTCTTTCTCTCTCTCTGCCCCTCCCCCGCTCTTCTGTCTTCTCTCAAAAATAAACAAACATAAAAATTTTTTTTTTTTAATTTTTTTTTTCAACGTTTATTTATTTTTGGGACAGAGAGAGACAGAGCATGAATGGGGGAGGGGCAGAGAGGAGGGAGACACAGAATCGGAAACAGGCTAGAGGCTCTGAGCCATCAGCCCAGAGCCTGACACGGGGCTCGAACTCACGGACCGTGAGATCGTGACCTGGCTGAAATCGGACACTTAACCGACTGCGCCACCCAGGCGCCCCAAACATTAAAAATGTTTAAAAAATAATACGTGCCTCATAAAGGTGTTTGTGAGGACTGAATATGCAGAGTGCTTAAAACAGTGTCTAGAACATAGTAGTTGTACTTTGTTCTTCTGTATAATGAAGATTTTGAGACACTGCCAGATCTCTAAATGTCTTCAATATTAAACTCTACTTACTATTCTAGTTTCTATTAGAATATTCCTAATTCCCTATGGCCTTCACTCTCAATTTTAGATCTCAAAAAGTTTACTGTACTAGTTTATTTTTTCAGTAACCTTTTATTCAAGAAGTAATGCATGTTCACAGTAGCAATACAGAAAATGCAGGTGAAACAAATAAAAACATCACACCAGCCAGAGGTCAGAGATCTCTGCACATCCTTTTTGGATGTTTTTTTATTCCTTATATGTCCATAGTGTATATTTGTGTCTGAATCAAAATGAGATGTTGTACTTTCTGTTTGGAACCTGTTTTTGTTTTTGCTTTTGTTTTGTAGTTAATGATCTTTACTGTTTTCATGTCAGTAAATACGTATTAAAGTACTTTAAAAATAATCTTTTACAGTACTGTCACTATGTCGCCGGGCTGGTGGGAATTGGCCTTTCCCGTCTGTTCTCAGCCTCAGAGTTAGAGGACCCCCTAGTTGGTGAAGATGTAGAACGTGCCAATTCTATGGGCCTGTTTCTGCAGAAAACAAACATCATTCGTGATTATCTGGAAGACCAACGAGAAGGAAGAGAGTTTTGGCCTCAAGAGGTAACAGAGTTAGGGGATTTGGGAAAAATAATGTCAAATACTTTTCTGAACACAAAACAAATCTTTTGGTTGCAAGTGATAGAAACATGAATCAAACTGCCTGAGACAACGGAAGAGAGTGTATAAAACAGGTTAAGATTTAGTTTGCTTCAGGGTGGACTGGCCAAATCCACAGCTTCAGTCGTGTGTGTGTGTGTGTGTGTGTGTGTGTGTGTGGCTTTTCCCCCTTCTTTCTATCTCTTGGACAGGCTTTCTCCCAAGTAGTAGGTGTAACAACCCATGACTCACAACTTATTTAGCTTAACAGAAAAGTCCTTAGGAAGGCCTGCTTGGTGGGGCTTGGTTCCTGTGCCCATCCCATAATCAGCTGCTGTAGCCAGAGGGCTGAATACTTTGGCCAGACCTGGATTATCTCTGCCCAACACACATAGATGGATTCCCCCCACCCACCCCAGGAAGAAAGATGCTAAATAGACAGAAACTACAGATGTTCATTATAAGAGACCAGAGTTGATCTTTGACTCAATTTTAAAAAAACAGGGAAAGGAAAGACTTGGACGTTGGTTTTATTCAGAAAGAAAGCTATAAAATATTTTTCCTTATTTTTTTTTAATCTAAGTAATCTCTACACCCAATGTGGGGCTCAGACTCACGACCTCAAGATCAAGAGTCTTCTAACTGAGCCACCCAGGCACCCTGGAAAGCTAGAAAATCTTATGACTATTTCCTACATTTGCCTATTGATTTCCATAAAATGGTTTCCTAAAACCAAGTGGTTTTAAAGTGGAAAAAAAGGTGACAAAGTAGGGAAAATATTTGCAACTTATGCTGCAAATAAAAACTGCTAAAAGTTAAGACCAGTTACCCTACAGGAAAATGGACAAAGAGATGAGAACAGATCAAGGAAAGAAAGATCATTAAACAGCTGAAAAGATGATCAATCTTACTCCTAATGAGAAAAATTCACATTAAAACTACCCTGGGCTGAGACGCCGTAGTTTGTCAAGCTTCCCAGGGGACTACTGTGCAGGCAGGGTTGGGAAGCAGCTCTTGTGCACCCTTCCTTTGACACCAATCCTCAAAGAAGGGGAGAGATTCGTGTGAGGACCTACAGTGAATGAGTCAGTGGCCGCTAGAAGGGACGCCCCAGTCTCCTGGATCCCTGCCAGGGCCTGTCCACCGTATGACGCTGCTTCTCACGCAAGCGCATCACCCAAGTGTGGTTCATGAGTACCAGCTCTGCAGTCCTGCACACATTTAACTTCCCTCTTTCTGTAAAATTGAATAGTTTATACCACAGGGTGGTGGTGTGCATGAAGTGACATAAACTGCAGCCCAGGGTGCTTAATGAATGTCAGTTCAAATAGCCTAACCCAAAAAAGATATAAAAGAATCCTGAGATACTATTTCTTGCATTGGACTGGCAGACAGTCAAAAGTTTGATAGGCCTGAATGAAGCAAGATTGGGGAACCAGGCACTCTTGTGTGGCCGGTGAGCATATACTGGTACAGCCCTGAGGCCTGGCAGTTTGGCAAATGACTCATATGGGAGCATATGGATTCAGTGTTGTTTGTAATAGTTACAATTTATTAACAACCCGGATGTCCCTCTACACAGGACTGGTTGAATGAACCTATGGTGTATTCACCTGGTGGAGCGCAAGAAGAACTATACTATTATGGAGTAATCTCCAGGCTATATTATTAAATGAAAAAAACAGGTGCACAATACCATAGTTTTGTGTTTTTGTTTTTTACTTTTTATTAAAATTTTAGTTAGTGAACATACAGTGCAGTATTGGTTTCAGTAGAATTTAGTGACTGATCACTTACATACAACACCCAGTGCTCATCACAAGTGCCCTCCTTAGTTCCCATCACCCATCTAGCCCATCTCCCACCCACCTCCTTCCACCAACATTCCAGTTTGTTCTCAATCATTAAATGTCTCTTGTGGTTTGTTTCCTTTTTTTCCTCCTATTCCCGTATGTTCATCTGTTTTGTCAAATTCCACATATGCGTGCAATCATATGGTATTTGTCTCTCTGACTTATCTCAACAGCAGAGTTTAAGTGGAAGGATAAACCAAAAGTAATAAAAGGTTTTCAGTAATCATATTGTGAATATTTTTGTTGAAATACTGAAACTATTACAGAAACTTGGTAACATAAAGTAAATAGGCAATTGTGTTCTTATCAGTCTAAGAACCAAGGTTTTTCAGCCTAAAATACAAGATACAAATAGGAAACAAGTTAAGCAAAACTCCCATAATCCTGAAGTGAATTGGAAATATCAGTATGAACTCATGATACAGATTCTTTAAAAACAAAAAAAGTTTACCTCTGTTTAGCAACAATGACCAAACCAGTAGTAATATGTACCTCTGGTGTTCCAATTTGTTCTTTTAATACCATTTCCCAGTATAAGGAACAGTAAGGGCAGAAAATACATAAAAGGAGCTTGAAATATACTGTCATGCCAGAAAGTAAGGGAACTATCAAAGTAAAAAGTACAGGATAAAGAGGCACACAATCCAATTTGAAGGGGCTTTCACTGGCCACATATGGAACACTTCGAGTACCAAAAAAGAATAAAAATGGCAGTGGATTAAAACACATCAAATGTGTTTAAATAAAAATGAGCATGCACCTCTTGATGAAAGATGTTGGTGTGCTCTTTTATCAAGAGGCATGTAATGTCTGATCTTTGCCCACTTTTGATGTTAGCGATCAGGCTTCATCCCTAGTTCTGTTAATTTATTAGGGTTGCAAAATAGTATTTTTATCACAGCTTTATTGAGACAGAGTTCACTTACTATATGCAGTTCATCCTTCTAAAGTTTTTAGTGTTTTTTTAGTATGTTCACAGAGTTGTGCAACAATCACCACAATTAATTTTAGAACATTTTCATTACCCCAGAAAGAAACCACATGCCTTCGAGCAGTCACGATCTGTTTTCCGCTGATGCCCACTCCCCAGCCCTTGGCAACCAGCCATCTTCTTTCTGTCTCTGTACATTGGCCTGTTTTGGACCTTTCGTATAAATGGAATCCTATAATATGTGACTGACTTCTTTACCTTAGCGTGATGCTTTTAAGGTTCATCCAGGAGGTAGTATGTTATCAAAACATTATTCTTTCTTATAGTCAAACAATATTCACTTATATAGATATGCCACATTTCATTTGTTTATCAGTTGAGGAATATTTGGGTTGTTTCCACTTTTTGGCTTTTATTATTTTTTAATGTTTGTTTATTTTTGAGAGAGAGAGAAAGAGCAGGGGAGGGACAGAGAGAGAGGGAGACAGAGAATCTGAAGCGGGCTCTGTGCTGACAGCAGAGAGCCCGATGTGGGGCTTGAACTCACGAACCATGAGATCATGACCTGAGCTGAAGTCGGATGCTCAACCAACTCAGGTGCCCCCACTTTTTGGCTATTATTAATATGCTGTGAACATTTGTATACAAGGTTTTGAGTGGACATGTGTTTCCATTTCTCTTGCATATATATACATATAGCTTGGAGAGGAATTGCTGCTTCATACAGCTACTAACCTTTGAGGAACTGCCAGACTGTTTTCCACAGTGACTACACCCTTGTGCCAGTCCTATCAGCAGTAGATGAGGGTTCCAGTTTCTCCACAGCTTTGCCAACAGTTCTCACCTTTTTTTATGTATGTGTTTAACATCTTTTTTATTGCGGTAAAGTTTATGTAATATAAGATTTACCATTCAAACTATTTTTTAAGTGTATAGTTCTGTACCCTTTAAACAATAACTCCCTACTTCTCCATATTATCTATCTTTTTTTATTATACCCCTCCTCGTGGGTGTGAAGTGGTTTCTCATTGTGGTTTTGATATGCAATCTGATAGCTAATGATGTGGAGCATTTCATGTGGTTGGCCATCTGTATATTTTCTTTGGAGAAATATCTATTCAGGTACTTTTTCTGAAAACTACTGAAATACTTTCAGATATTTTAATGGTATTGTTTGTTTTTATTATTGAGTTGTAAGGGTTCTTTCTATGCTCTGAATACAAGTCTCTTATCAGATACGTGATTTACAAATATCTTCTCCCAGTCTGTGGGTTATCTTCTTCCTTTCTTGATGTCTTTTGGAGTGTAAACGTTTTTAATTTTGATGAGGTCCAATTTATCTAGTTTTCTCTTTTGTATTGTGCTTATGTAAGAAACCATTGCCTAATCTAAGGTCATGAAGATTTATGCCTATATTTTCTTCTAAGAGTTTTATAGTTTTAGCTCTTAATGGAGTGCTTTGATCCATTTTGAGTTAGTTTTTGTATGTGGTGTGAGGTAGGGGTCCAGCTTATCATTTTGCACAAATGTCCAGCTGTCCCAGTACTATTTGTTGAAAAGATTGTTCTTTCCCCCATTGAATTATTTTAGCACCCCTGTTGAAAATCAGTTGACCCTAAATATGAGGGTTCATTTCAGGACTTTGAATTTTATGCCATAAAATAAGAACTTTTTAATTCTATATTTGTGCCTTCCTTTATTAGCTGGGCTGATTTTATAGGAGATATGTTCTCTTCTTTATTATTTGCTTGTTGAGTGGTACAAATCACGTATGGAAGGCAGTACATATAGTTGATTCTTTCCTTTACCTAGCTTTTCTTTTTTTTTTAATTTTTTTTTTCAACGTTTATTTTTTTGGGGACAGAGAGAGACAGAGCATGAACGGGGGAGGGGCAGAGAGAGAGGGAGACACAGATTCGGAAACAGGCTCCAGGCTCTGAGCCATCAGCCCAGAGCCTGACGCAGGGCTCGAACTCACGGACCGCGAGATCGTGACCTGGCTGAAGTCGGACGCTTAACCGACTGCGCCACCCAGGCGCCCCGTTTACCTAGCTTTTAGGATAATTTTCTGTCACCCTCAGAAGGTGACCAATTAGTTATCTTTTGCTATCATTATAAACTTACAGATTAAAACATATTTGGGTTTAATCGGTTGTAATTATTCTCATTATTAAAGCTTAAAATTTCCCTTTGGTCGGGAATAGATTCAGGTTGGCTCTTGAGTCCTCATGACCCTTAATAGTCTATGATAGCTTCCTTGCCATTTGATACGTGAAGATGTTCTAAACTCATTTTGTACATTTACTAAGATCTGGACTCCTCCAGCTATTCAAGAAGCTCAGGGAAGACACCTGGGCTAATGGAAAATAATAGCCAACACCACACTTGGGCAGGATAGTCATTGCTCTTGGGGTAGTCTGTGTATGTGTGTATGTGTGTGTGTGTGTGTGTGTGTCTAGTTTTAAAGCTAAAATACCTTGTAATTTATATTGATACATTTACAAATACCTTGTAAAAATTTGTATTGATATTTCCAATTCAAACGCAGGACAATAGAATGGTTATATAATCGCTTCCTCTATATTATATCTCTACCTCATTTTTTCCTCATTGAGATTCATATTTCTCAGGGAAATAAGAGATGCCCGAATTAGTATATGCCATAACTACTCATCTGCTTTTTTTCCACATTACAGATCTTGCAGTCTCTGAATAGTGATATTGATGCTACTACCACCAAATATGCTTACGGACAATAATTCAAAAAAAATTTTTTACATATGATATCCTAATTGCCAATTTTTTATGATTATATTTATATCTGAATCGTCAGATCAGATAGCCATTACCACCGTAATATCTCCCTTTTCTCCTTTATTTTGTCTTGGTTTATGCTCACCACCAGCCTTTATGTTGATGTCTCTAACCATTTTGGTTGTCCCGAGCTCGCACTCTGGTAGATAGGAAAGAGCCATGAGAATAATAATTCTCCATGTTTATACATATTGAAGATAATTTGTGTCCTTGATATTTGAAAGTCAGTGTTTTCTAGCTATGAAGTTTTTAGCTCATAGTTTTGAGTACCTTAAATGTGTTACTCCCCTTTTCTTCTGCTTTTACAGACTGGCTGTTGAAAATCTAATGATCGTTTTCTTTTCCTTATAAGTTGCGGGTTCTTTTTCTTCTTGGTGGTCGCTCCCTAGACTTATTATCAGTGAAGAGGCCAAAAGGTGCTATCCTAATTCTGTCATCCTTTCTGCATCTATTAGCAGGAAGTTTGGATTTTGTAAAAAATGGTAGTGATGGTGGCAGCAGCATGGTTTGGGGATTTTTCCCAAATTCTCAAAAAGAGATGAAACAACTCGACAAAAAAATCCAAACAAACACCCAAAACCCAGCCCGTGGATAACCTGTACAAAGCACCCCCAGGAGCTCCAAGACAAAAGTGGGCACAGGCGAGATGCCAACGCCACAGACAGAACCTGCATGATGGAACAAGACGGGCCAAGTGTCAATAATTGTTGAGGCCGGTGGATGTATACATAGGGGTTTATTAACTATTTTCTCCAAGTTCTGCAGATCTTGTACCATCGTTGATCTAGTACCATCAATCTGAGTGTGTTTAAGGTGCAAATTACGAATGGATAACAAATTTGACTTTCCATAGAATCTCCTAGTCCTATTAGGCCAGTCATGTATTTGGGGGAGTGCATAAGGTTACAATGAGTGTCATTCTTTGGGCGGCTTAAGAGTTTTCAAAAATGGGGTGCAATGGCTCAGTTGGTCACGTGTCTGACTCTTGATTTCAGCTAAAGTCACGATCTCACGGTTTGTAAGTTTAAGCCCCACATCGGGCTCTGTGCTGACAATATGGAGCCTGCTTGGAATTCATTCTCTCTCTCTCTCTCTCTGCCCCTTCCCTGCTCTCACTTTCTCTCTCAAAATAAATAAATAAACTTAAAATTAAAAAAAAAATACTTAAAAAAAATGGTTACCAAAGATGAAAGTAAGTTTTATGCTAGCTTCAGAAACTACTTTATTTTTTTCTGATGTTTAATTTGTGTGTGTGTGTGTGTTTGTTTTTTGTTTTTTTGTTTTTTTGTTTTGTTTTGTTTTGTTTTTTGGAGAATACGAGCAGGGGAGAGGGGTTGAAGGAGAGAAAGAGAGACTCTTAAGGAGGTTCCACACTCGGCACAGAGCCCGATTCGGGACTCAATCCCACGATCCTGGATCATGACCTGAGCTGAAATCAAGAGTCAGACACTGAACCGACTGAGCCACCCGTGTGCCCCTAGAGATTCCATTAAATATTAACATTAAAAATTGTCAAATCAGTCCCACCATTGGAGTTGAAGATGTCATTTCACTTTTGAGTTACTAAGATCCGAGGAGGTAATGTTCTCATAGTACAGACTTAGCTCATTTTCCCCAAATATAATTGTTTGGCAGCATTCTGTCTCGGAATTGGGTACGTAATGTTAATCACTAATTACTTGGAGACCTGACCATCTTCAGAATTTTACTGTTTAGCCTGCAGTATTGTTGTAGCTGGTTTTGTATATATCTGGTTATTTTTTTCAGGAGTAGACTAATGCCTTCTGAATAACACAAGTTTTCTTTATCTGAAGTCATTAAAGTATTGCTGTATTACATGCTGTACTAATCTTCCCAAAAGGACAATTTCCCAGAAACTTAACTGACTCCCAGGTTGTGATCAGACCCTGACTGGCTGTCACAAATAGCCCCTGTGTGGAGCTTAAAACAGATTTGATCTTGGTGAAAGAGGAGTCCGCAGCTAAGAAAAACTTTACTGTCTATCATAGTTCTTATTCATGAAGATTCTTTCATGTTGCTTGGAAACCTTCTTCCCTTATGCACATGCCGACTTCTTTTTTAAGGTTTGGAGCAAGTATGTTAAGAAGTTGGGTGATTTTGCTAAGCCACAGAATATTGACTCGGCTGTGCAGTGCCTGAACGAACTTATAACCAACGCACTACACCACATCCCAGATGTCATCACTTACCTTTCAAGACTTAGAAACCAAAGTGTGTTTAACTTCTGTGCTATTCCACAGGTATGCAGTGCTGCTGTTCTTGTTGTAGAGGAGAGGTGGAAGCTACAGGCAGTGGTGTGGTGGTGGTGATGGGGGTGGATAGAATGCATTTACTATTTTGGTTTGCTGTATTCGGAATATGGTTCCTTAAAAAGAGGACTCTGGCCTGTTTTCTTTTGCTGGCGAAGAGGCAGACAGTATCTCACCATACCTCCCCTTTGCTCTATGACCACCACCCTCAGCTCAGCCTCGCTAGATCCTTATTCTCACAGTTAAATCTAGGGCTTTGGCTTAGATTTATGGGGAGTGCTGGGTAAAATGTAGGTGAAGGTGTTGTCATTACAAAGTCTTAAGCGCCTAGTTTTTGCTGTGCTTTTCCTAGACTCATGAAAACAGAACCTGACCCTATGGACCTAGCCCCTCAATATCCTAGGAGCTTACACTTTTTAAATGCCTTACCAATTACTTTAACTCCAGTAAATGAAAGTTCTAGGATTTAACTGATTTGGAAACTCGATTTAATCTTTTAATGGCCAATCTTGAATGGTTGTTGGAGCTAAAATCTGTAGGCCTGACATGGGTTTCCGTTTATCCTAGGAATAATACACCTTTGAGCTTGGGAACTATCCCTCCTTCCCATTTGTGCCCTACCCCCTCCTCCATGCTGGTTTTTTTCATGTATGATGGTTATGTTTGTTGCAGGAAAAATAGAAAATTCTTTGCAGATATTATTTTGAGATACATTTTTCAGCTCTATGACTCATTATTCTAGCATAGAAAATGTTGTATTGGCTCGTGTTTGTTTTTTCCAAATAAAAAGTTTTCATGGTCAAACCAAAGAATCATTTAAGACTGCAAAGATCACTTGAGACTGTTGTTGAGGAAGGGAGGAGTGGGAAAGGTACAAGTTTTGATATGCTTTCTTCATGGGTACTTTTTCTTGGTTAGTTACATCTTAGCTCTTTGGCACTTTCTTATTCTATAGAAGATTTTTTTTACGTTTTCACAATGGTGATTGCCTATAGTACCATTTCTTTTCTTTCATGAAATGAAATGAATTAGCATTTTCTTTCATCTCCCCCACCTAATATCTGTAGGTAATGGCCATTGCCACTTTGGCTGCCTGTTACAATAACCAGCAGGTGTTCAAAGGCGTAGTGAAGATCCGAAAAGGACAAGCAGTAACTCTAATGATGGATGCCACCAATATGCCAGCTGTCAAAGCTATAATATACCAGTATATGGAAGAGGTGGGTTTCTATTTAACTACCTGGATAATTTCTAGCTATTTTTTATAGTATTTAAATAATGTCATTGTTTAAATAGTTTATATTTGAATATTAGATGATCCTAACAACTTACTGTGTCATGGTATAAAGAGACAGGACAGGAGTTGGTCTCCTTTATTTGGAAAGTTCGTGTATGCATGAGTTACTGATTGTTCAGAGTTGCACAGCACCCTGGTGAGAGTGCATAAAGGCAGCAAGCCTTTAGGGTGGAGCTCCTAAGCAGAATCATAGGTTTTGAGCTGAAAGCTGATGTTAGAGGCCAGTCAGGCTTTTTGTTTTATGGGTGAGAAAAATGAGGCTAAGTCTTGTGGATGCAAATGCAGTATCTGACTGAGTAGATCTGGGACCCCAGTCCATCCACATTGCCTCACACCCAATCCAGTACTTTCTATGACTTCATAGGCCTCAACTGAGAAACCACAGTAGGGAATTTTGGCAAAGGAAAACCATCAAGTTGCAATGATACCTAAATTTTTTTTTCTTTTTTTATAATTCTTTTAATGTTTTTATTTATTATTGAGAGGGAGAGAGAGAGAGGGTGTGCATGCAAGTGGGGGAGGGGCAGAGAGAGAGGGAG